CCCCCCGCCCCCGGCCCCCCCCCCGCCCCGCCGAGGGCCCCGGGCCACGGCCCCCGCAAGATGGAGGCGGCGGAGCCGCGGACCCCCCCCACCCCCGCCGCCAGCGGGGAGGTGGTACCGCCCCGCCGCCGCGTCTAGCCAATGAGAGCCGAGAGCCACTAAGTGACGCGCTACGGGCGGTAGCCAATGGAGAGCTTCGGGCCGGACCCGCCGCGTGGGGATTGGGTCGGAGGGGCGGGGCGCAGACGGCGAGGCGTGGGACGCTCGGGTCCGTCCGTGCGGCGCCTTCCCGGAGGGTTGCGGGTTCGAGGCCCGGGCCCGGCTCATGCGTGTGCTGAGTTGCGCGGGTCTCAGCCGGCAGCGGGCCGTGGCGGGGGGGGGGGGCGGGTGTGTGCTTTTCTCCCCTCCCGGGGAACGATGCCGGCCCAGCTCCATCCTCGGAGCAGCTTCCCCAAAAACCCAAGCGCTGGTGGCATGGCGAGCCTGGGCAGGGTGCCAAAAGCAGCACTCCCTCTGCATCCCCCAGGGTTTGGGACGGGAGAGGGTGAGTAGGGACCCCACCCACACCCCTCTTCCTTGCCCCCCCACTCCGGAAAAAAGGGGAAAGGAAAAGAAAAAAGAAAAATACTGTTTATTTCACACCACTACATCAAGTGCATCAGTCTGCCGCGTCCCTGGCGGGGCGACCCAGCGTCCCCTCCCTGTCCCTCCCCAAACTCCCCCCCTCCAGCCGTTGCCTCTCCCCATCGCTCCCCGGGCGAGAGGGGTCGAGGGATGGAGCCCCCCAACCTGCCTGGCCCCGGGGCTTAGCATGGGGGGAGCAGGGAAGGGGGTGCTGCCTCCATTACGGGGTTCACCCCCCCAAAACCCTCTTGGGACGGTGCGAAGCCCAGTGAAGTCCCCAACCATCACCCACAGCGATGTCCTCACGGTGGGGGGGGGTCGCACCGAGAAGCCCCTCGCACTGGTGGGCACGAGGTGGGGGACCGCTGAAATCAAAGGGGGGGTGAAATTAAATTGGGGCTTACCCCTAGCGAGCCGTGACACTACCTCGGAAACACAGGAAAACGGCCAAAAAATGAAAATCACTCCTTTTCTGGGGGACGACGACGACACTTGGGGGGCAGGAGAGGCGGTGCGTGCAGGCAGGGGGTCCGTCACCACGCACATTACAGGCAAGAGGAGGCATGAGGCAGGCATGACACCTGACGCGAACACGCTTAGGTCATGTGTGATGTGGAGGAAAGGGGGACGGACACACGGACACACCTACGGGCACGGTGGGGTGGTGGAGACCCCAGCACCCACCGCGGGGCTGGGGGACAAAGTCGGTGGCAAAAGTGCTGATGGCAGGAGGTCGGGGTGGGCAACGGGGTGGGGGGACGTCCCCGTCCCCATCCCCTGTTTAGGGGATCTGAAAGACGTTGAGTTTACTGGTGTTTTTGAGGGTCTGCCGGCGGTTGCAGAACCAGACGCGGACGACTTCGCGGTCGTAGTTGAGCTCCTTGGCGATCTCGGTGATCTCTTGGCCGGTGGGCAAGGCGTTCTTCTCGAAGTAGGCATTGAGAGCCTCGATGGCTTGGGGGGTGAAGGAGGTACGGCGTTTCCGTTTTTTGGAGGGTTCCCCCCCGACGAATTCCATCAGGTTTTGTTGCCCCTCTTGGTTACGGAGCTCAGCTTCGCTCAACCACTTCTCCAGCACCGGTTTCAGCTTCTGGGCGCTCTTGGGGGTGATGTCCAGCTTCTCGAACCTGCAGCGGGCACCGAGAAACCCTCAGGGATGTGGCGAGGATGGGGGGGGGGACACCGAGGGGGACACACCGTGACGGGGTTGGGGGCACTGCTGCCTTCGGTGGGTGAGACCATGGTGGGGAGTGATGCTGCGGTGAGGAGCTTCGTGGGCAGCGACCTCACTCACTCTCCTTTTCTCCCATTTTCCTCCTTTCCTCCCATTTTCCTCTTCTCCAGGTTCCCTTTTCTCTGATTTTCCTCTTCTCCAGTTCTCCCTTTCTCCAGCTTTCATCTCTTTCTCTAATTTTCCTCCCTTTCTCTCATTTTCCTCCCATTCTCCCATTTTCCTCCCATTCTCCCATTCCTCCTTTACTCCATTTTTCCTCCTTTTATCCATTTCTCCTTTTCTCCAACTTTCCTTTTCTCCCTTTCCTTAATTTTCCTTTTGTCTGTTCCTCCTTTTCTCCCATTTTCCTTTCTGTTTTTCCTTTTTTTCCCATTTTTCTCCCTTTCTCCCGTTTTCCTTCCTCCAGTTTTCCTCCCTTTCCCTAATTTTCCTTTGATCTAATTTTCCTTCTTTCCTCCAATTTTCCTCCCTTTCCCTCATTTTCCTTTTGTCTTCTAATTTTCCTTCTTTCCCCCAATTTTCCCCCTTTCCCCCAATCTTCCCTCTTTCCTCCAACTTCCCTCCCTTTCTCTAATTCTCCTCTTTTTCCTCCATTTCCCCCCGAGGCTGCAGCCCCTCGTACCTGCAGATGGCCGACTGGCTGTAGGCCGGTCCCTCGGTGGCCGTCAGGGCCTGTCCCACCTGCGTCTGCGTCAGGCCGAGGGACAAACGTCGGATCTTGAAGTTCTTGGCGAATTCCCGGATCTCCTCCAGGTTAATCCCATCCTCCTCCGCGCTGCTGTTGGGAGCCGGGGGCTCTGCCGGCGGAGGGATGCAGGGGCTGCTGTGAAACGGCCATGGATCCGCCTCCCCTCCCCCGCCATAACGAGCATCCCCTTCATTAGGCTCCATAACGAAGGTTGGGTGCCAGCGGTCATCCCCAAGGATGCAGAATGCAGGCGTGCAGCATCCTCTCCCCATCCCAGGGGATCCTAGACATTGGCATTCCCACAGTATCCCCCACAGTATCCCCAGCATCTTCTCCCTATCCCAGGGGATCCCAGACCTCGGCATCCCCCCAGTATCCTCCCTGCCCAGTATCCCCAGCATCCTCTCCCCATCCCAGGGGATCCCAGACTCCATTATCCCTCTTCCCAGGGCATCCCAGTCCCCAGAATCCCCCCAGTGGTGACTCACTGGAGACCAGCTGGCTGACGGTGGGGGTCTCTGAGCAGGTGATAGGGACGGGCACAGAAGAAGCCTTTGCTGCCGGGGCAGGATTTGCCATCACCACGGCCGGCTGGGAGAGAGCTGGGGCCGGCTGGATGGGCTGGACCTGGGGCAGAGGGGAGGGTCAGCACCCCCAGAGCAGGGGCTCCCCCTCTTCCAGCGCCACGGCCGGGCTGCTGCCTGCCCACCGGCTTCATCCCTGCGGTGGCAGGAGAGTGGCCACCGCATTGCTTTTGCTGATGATGGAGGTAAGACAGGCTGGAATGGAGAGGTGATGCTGGAAACGACCCAGCTCCGTGCTCGGAATGGGGCCGTGACAATTTGGTACTGGGTTTGGGGTGTCCTGCCACGTAGGTTTGGGAGCAACCAGCGCCTCTGCTCATGCCAAGGTGAGGTTTGGTCACGTCCCATCCCAGCTGGGAAATTCAGTGGGCACAGAGAGTGGGATGCCCCACGGGGCAGCACGGTGGGGCAGGAAGGTATGCATCCCAAAGCTGCTCACGGGCTCCCAAAGCAATGTGGTTGGGTCCCAAAGCTGCTCACGGGCTCCCAAAGCAATGTGGTTGGGTCCCAGAGCAATACAGCTGGGTCCCAATGATGCTCTCATGCTTCCAGAGCAATGTGGCTGGGTCCCAGAAATGCCCATGTCCCCCCCAGGCAACATGGCCTGGGCCCAAAGAACATGGCTGGGTCCCAGAGATGCTCATGTGCTCCCGAAGCAACATGGCCGGGTCCCAAAGCAACACAGCCATGTCCCAAAGATGCTCATGTGCTTCCAGAGCAACGTGGCCACATCCCAAAGCAACGTGGTTGGGTCCCAAAGCCACGCAGCCAAGTCCCAAACATGCTCATGTGCTCCCAAAGCAATGTGTCTGGGTCCCAAAGCCACACGTCTGGGTCCCAAACATGCTGACAGGGTCCCAAAGCAACGCGGCTGGGTCCCAAAGCCACACGGCCAGGTCCCAAAGATGCTCACATGCTCCAAAAGCAATGTGGCTGCATCCCAAAGATGCTCACACGCTCCTAAACCAACACGGCCGGGTCCCAAAGATGCTCGTGTGCTCCCAAAGCCACGGAGCCGGGGATGGTGCCAGCCCCTTTGGCCACGCAGCCATCAGCCCCGTGCCCGTCGCTCACCTCGTTCTTGGGGGGGGGCTCGGGGGTGCCGGTTTTCTTGATGGCGGCCGCCTGGATGGCGCTGCCGGCCAGCGTGGCGATGACCTGGCCCTGGGCATTGAGCAGCAGCTGGGGCGTCACCGTCTGTACCTGCAGGTTCTGGGCCGGCAGAGCGGCCGGGGCTGGGCTGGCTGCCGCCATCCCGGGGGGGTTCACCACCCACGGCAGGGTCCCGATCACCTGGGCGAAGGGAGGAGAGCCAGAGCTGGGGTGGGGGGGGGTTGCATCCTGCAAACACCCTTCCCCGAGGTGGTGGGGGGACACACTGGCTGCATCCGTCTCCTCCTTTCCCAGGAGAAACAACCCCCCTGGTGGGGGGGGGGCAGCAGGTGGTGGGTTTGCAAGGGCAGGTCCCCCCTCAGCGGTACCTGGCCCTGGGCGTTGGTCAGGATCTGGCCCGTGATGCCCTGCACGCTGGAGATGGTGTTTGCGATCACGGGGGCGGCTGCCAAGGAGCCGAGGAGCTGGGTTTGGCCCCCGAGAGAAGCCGCGCTGATCTGCAGAGAACCGAAAGCCGGGGGTCAGAGACGTGGGTCACCCCAGGCCACCGCGTCCCCCCGCGCACAGCCGTCCACCCCCTTCCCCGTGGCAGGGTGACTCCTGCCTCGCTGTCGTGATGGGATGCAGTCCCTTGACGTCCTTAAATCCATCCTTTAGATTTTGCCTAAAGCAAAGCTGCCTGCGCGGTCGCTCGTCGTTCACCAGGGATTTGGAAACTGAGGCTGGGATCTTGCATGATCCCCTGGGACATGATGGCTGAAACAGAGTGCTTCGTCCTCAGGGAAGCACAACTTCTCACGGCTCTCCACGGCCACGTAAGGCACCGGATAAAGGGAAGCGGGTGCCGAACTCGCCCAGCTCCACGCTGTGGGCTGCCAGGCTCCTTACTATGCCAGGGTTAAAGGCAAATCCAGCAGGTTGGACGGTGATCTGGGTCTGCGTCTCTAACGGCTTGGCCACGGGCGGCGTGGGTGCTGCAGCGGGCTGTGGCAGGATGGGGGGCTGGCTGGGCGCGGTGGGGAAGACGCCAGGGGTCTGGAGGGGGGGCCGGGGCTGGACCGCAGCCTGCAGCGGCTGGGCAGGCTGCACCGGCGCTTGGATGGCTGTGTTCAGTACGGCAGCGGCTGCGAAGCAAAGAGACGGAGAGAGCGTGAGTCGGGGAGGAGACAGGGACACCGAGGAGACCCTGAGTGTCCCCCTCACCGCTCACTGTCCCTTCCCAAAGGGAACCGAATCACCAGGTGATTCATCTCCGCATGCTTGTGTTATCGCAGAGAAAGGTCCCCCCAGCCCTGGTGTAACAGGCAGAGCCGAGCCCCTCTGCTGCAGCAGGACGCATCCTGCCCGGCTGGGGTGCTGGGTCTAACCCAAACCAGGTGCTGCTGCCCGCACAGAGGGTGAGGGGCACCTCCGCGGTCCTGTCATCTCCCCTCTCTGCGAATCATTCCTGGGACAGACTCCTTCCCTCACGGGAGCTCAAGAGGCAACGATTCCCTCTTACAGGGAACGGCATGAATCCTGCTCCGGGCAGCGCCGGAGAGGCACCCATCCTCCTGCTCTCATGCCCGCAGGTCTCCCCCCTTGCAGAACCTCACCCGCTGCAAGGGGGTGCCATACCCAGAGCCCCAAATCTAACCTGGACCTCACATCCCATTCCTGTGTGCTGCCTTCCTCCCTCTCGCCGTCCTCATCCTGCCCTCGCCTTCTCCCACGCTCCCAGCACCTTTTGTACAGGGGGAGCCGCAAACAAGTCCCCAAAATAAAACGCCATTGCAGACCCCTCCTGGAGAGGACAGCCTGGATTCTGCACGAGCTGGGGGAGGACGAATTAAGGAGGCTGCAAAGCAGAAGAGCACCAGTTACCTTGCAAATTGGCTATAGGCGGTTTGAAAATTCCCCCTGTAGGAGAAGCAGCCGTCAATCCGGGAAGGGCAGCGACCGTTGCTGTAGGAAATGTCCACACAGCCAGCCCCTGCTGACCTGCCACTTGACCTGCAATACTGATGGGGATAAGAAGAGGTTGAGTAACTGTCCCTGCTGGAACCATTACTCCTGTCACAACTGTTGCTAAGTTTTCCTGAGTCAAGACCTGCAAAAGTAAACAAGATTTAAAAAAGAACAAAAATCAACGCCACTGCAGATAGCATCAGCGGAGCATAAGTCTTTGCAAAGGGGCCCGTAGACCCGGCGGCCGGGCGGCCCGGGGTCCCTCCCATCTCAGCAGCTGGGTTCCCAGCTCCACGGAGTCCCCCTCTCCGTGGGGAGACGCTGGGGGGGATCCCCCCCGTCCCCCCAAACCACCCGACGCATCTCTGGCAGCACCTCGGCGGCGCAAGGCCCTTGGCGAGGGCGCCAAGCAGAGGGAAACCGCCTTGGTTCGGGGCGTAGGTCCTACACCCTGCGCCACGAGCGGTCGTCTCTGCCCTCGGGGTTTGCCTACAGCAAGCGGACGCCACCCCAGGGGGTCCCCACCTTGTCCTCCCCCCTCCACCCCAGCCCTCTCCCTCCTCTCCCGCTCCCGCTCTGTGGCTGCAGGGTAGTTACCTGCGGGGTCGCTTGCACGGCCAGCGGGGCCAACGTCTGCGGCTGCTGGCTCGTGGCGTGGCTGAAGGTGCCGACGGAGGGGACGGTGCTGGGTGATGCTCTGGCCGCCGGTTTGGCTTTGCCTGCGGAAGGGCGGAGGAGATGGGTTGGAGAGATGCTGCTGGTTGAGCGATAGCAGCTTGTCTGTACAAAGGATGGGGGTGAGGGTGGGGGGCACCCAAATTACACACACCCAGGGAATGAACACCCTCCCACGGGTGTCCCGGGGGAGCTGCAGACCCATGGAGCCAGCGTGAAACCCAGCGTGGGGCATCCTCGGGAACAGCGCTCTGCGTCCCCCAAGGTGGGGTTGCTGCCCAGGTTGTGGGATGCAGGGGAAAGGTATTTGGGGGCTTCTTATGGGATGTTTTGGGGAGGAGGCAAAGGAGGGAGAAGGGAGAGGTTTGGGTCACTTGGGGAGGAATGAGTGTGGGGAATAGGGGGGTTAAGGAGATACAAAGGAGCTGTGGTATGTAAGCGGTTTGCTGGGCTGTGTGCGCCTCTCTCGGGCTGTCGGATCCGGCAGGAGATACTTTCCTCCGCCAGCTGCTGGCTCCAAAATTAGCAGCAATTAAAGCGGTGTCAGCCCCCGAACCATTTACCCAGGAAAGGGGAGCTGGAAAGGGAAGGGACCAATATCACCTAGCCAGCACCCAGCAGAGGGGCATCCCCCGTGGGCTGAGCTTCGTTGGGTGCCTTTCAACCCTGCACCCAAATTCACAGAATATATAATATTTCATAGTTATTGTGAACATCCGAGTAAGAGGAAACCTTGCTCCTAATCCATATTTATTACTTGCAAAAGAGCTACTTGTTTTTTGAGCAACCTCTTGTATTTATTCTGCTCAACTTCTAATAATGGCAACCCGCGAGTATAAAACCCACTTAATCCTCTTCTATTTTTGTAAAAAGAAAAACACCCTTTTCCTGCCTTTTCCTTTGGCAGAAAAAAAGTTTTACCAAATAAATACTTTTCTCATCTAAGAGCCAGGGATTTCTCAGGTTTGGTTCCTTGCCCAGAAATAACTACAGGTCTGCAAGATTTAAAAAAGCTTTTTTTTTTTAATTTCCTACCAAAACCAAGCACAGATAACACCCAGCACTTCCCAAATTGCAAAGACTGTGCTACAGGCAGCAACGCTGCCAGGTCTGATGGGTTTTGTGTAGCCTGCTGTGCTTTTCCTCCCCTCCAGCCTGCGGCAGCAGGACCAGAGCATCCCCCAGTGCGGAGGGACACTCGCCTCTTCCTCTTACCAACTGGCCTCAAACAAGCTACAATCCTGCCCTTTTTTTTTTTTTTTGGCAAAACCATGGGAATCTGGTTGTGCTCTGAATACAGCACAGAGGTGACAACCAGAGAAAAGTCCTATTAATAAATAAAGCACAACAGTGGCAGGAAAGGGGATGGGACAGGGGCGCTTGCAGGCGGGCAGGAGAATTGGGGTGCCGGCCAAAAAGCAGCAAGGAATAGAGCAGGATCTCCCCAAAGCCTTATTTCCAGAGCTGCATTCCCATGCGAGAAGGGACGCACCTGCAGTGAGCTCAGCACCCTGGAACAGCCCAGGGCTGGGGAGAGGAAACCCAAGCCCCTGCTCTAAGTGGCTGTGGGAAAACTGAGCTCCCCAGCAAAACATCTCATCGACAAATGTCCTCTCTATTTTAAGCACATGTTTGAGGGCTGTCCTCGATGCAGGATGCTTTTCCCCATCTCCTCCTGGAGGAGGAATTGGTTTTGCTAACTCCTAACCCAGCTTGGCATGGGGATGCTCCAGAGCAGGGTGTGAGTCTGCCTGCGCTGATGGGCGCAGCGCGTCCTCCCGGCTCCGACCCAGCGGTCCGGAGCCCAACTTCACTTGCAGGGATGGACAGACCAGGGGCAACCCACAGAATGAGCCCCAGGGAAGGAAAGTGTCTTACCGGCTGCCTCCCCGCTGCATGAGCTCTGGGTGCTGTGTGGGACCTCCTCTCTGCCTGGGTGGCCGGTCTTTCCCGGGGAGCCCCGTGCTACCTCCCCTGGTGGCATCTCCAAGGGTTTCCGGTCCTCCTCGGCCGGGAGCGGGGTGTCCACGCCAACCTCCAGCACTCGGATGGTTTCATGGCTGGACATGACAATAACCTGCAGATGTGCCCCAAAATATCCATCAGGTCCGGGTGCCCAACCCCACGGCGGTGTCCCCCAGGCCACGCACCCCAGGGCAGAGCAAAGAAGCTCCCCCTGCCCCACGGGAAATGTCCTAGGGTGACTCTTAAAACCGACCAAGCAGAGCCCACCCTGTCCCCTCAAGGAGGGATGGATGGGACGGATCACAGTCCCCCCCAGCACCTTGCTGCTTTAATTAATCAGCAGCTTCTGGGCTCTGATACACCCCAGCTCTGCATGCATCAGCGGGCGAGACCTTCAGCAGGTAAATCACGGCTGCCAGCGGCCGCAGCACCCCCGGCAGAGCTGGCACCACCATATCTGCAGCACTAGTGCGAGCACTGATCTACAGCCCTGGGGGTCTGACCCAGGGTCGGGTGAGCCCTCCAAATCAAGATACGATTTCTCCCGTATTGAGGAGACATGGAGAGTGATGAGCAGAGATACCTGCTGCTCCTCCAGCTCTCCCGTGGCTGCAGGCAGCCAAACCCTGGAGCAAAGATCTCTTGCAAACAGCGAGGCTGCAGAATGAGGACCGCACGCCTCCTCTTTGTTGTTAAAAAAACCCGAGATGAGGCAACCAAGCTCCAAAAGATGGGGCTGAACATCTCCATGCCCAAGTGTGGGGGCAAACAGGGTGGTCGTGAGCATGGGGTAGGAGTGAGATGGTTTTTCACCCGGTGCCAGGGCACACAGTGGGGGTCCAAACCCCAAATCCCCACCCCGTGGCCCTCTGGGTTGTGGGGTGTGAAGGGGTACAGTGGGGATGGAGCCGGCGACGACATACCTGCTCGTTGACCGTTAGCGAAGCCTCCTGGGGCTGCACGGCTTCAGTGTCCATGGTGTCCCGGCGAAGGTGGGAGAGGGCTCAGACCTTCCACATGCTGCAAGTGGGGAACACGGGAGGGTTCATCATTGACACAGCGAGCGGCTTGGGGGATCACACGCTGGGTCGACCCAGGGTGCAGAGCAAACCTGGTCTTTCCCACTGCTTCCCTGCTCCTCTCTGGCTCTACCACCCACCTCTCTCCCACTCTGTACTGGCCCCGGCTGTGATTCGGGGCACCGCAGAGCTTGCTAATGCCCTCCTGCCCTGTGCCGTGGGGATGCATGCTCCTCCCCAGGGGAGGCTTTGGTGTCTCAGGTACCTCCCACCACCTTCCATCCTCTTGGCAAGAGGTCATGGGACATGGGGTAGTGTAATTTATTGGGTGAACATCAAATATACAGGCAGCAGAGCAAGGGAAGGGTTAATGCAAGGGCCAAGCCTTTCCACCTCTTCTCTCCCTTTGGGACATGAGGATGCAATTCCTATAGCGTCCTTTAGAAACTCTAAAAAACCAGGCACGGACCACATGAAACCACCTGTGCCTCCTATTTGAAGCCCAGAGCAGGTCCCCAAAGTCTTGGCATGACGCTTTGCAGCTCTCCCAAGCCCCTGACGCTGGCTGCAAGAAGTAGGAGAGTCAATTTGCTCTTTCCTGAGGGGACCTAAATTGATGGGGACACTTCATTAAGCTGGTGAAATGAGTCGTTCATGGAGGGAAGGGGCTTGGCACACCTGTTGGAAGGCAACTCTTCCTCTTCCAACACCCTTCATTAACTCATTTGGTCACGTATTGTCCCCTCGCTACCTTGCAGAAGCATAATTGCCTTTATAAGAGGCTTATGAATTTTTTATTAGGAACGTCTCGGGGATGCATTTAACCAGCCAGCCTGGATGACATTCAAAATTACTCGATGCATGTGCAAAGGTGTCCTTGTTTGTGTAACTGCTCGGGAGCCTGGAGGCATGTTGATGCTGGTAGTTGCAGCCAGACCCCAGCTCTCCCTGTCCCAGCTGTCCCAAAATGCTGGGCAGCGTCTGCTCGCCTCCAGTGCTGACCACCTCTGTGCTGGGCCTGATCCTGTCTCTGCCCCACAAGGGATGCTGGCATCGCACAGACCAGCCAGCTCAGCCCTCGGCAAGCTCTGCAAAGCCGAGTGTGTTAAACGGAGGCAGAGCTCTGGCAGAGCCTCCCCGGGCTCACAACTCATCCGTAAGGGAATTTCAGCCCCAAACTTGTGTTAGTGCATTTCATCCCTTGTTTTTCACTTCTGCCAGGGAATGTGGTGCGGCGCGGGCATCCCCTGCCGCTCTGCTCTGCTGTGATACATCGGCCCGTCATGTCAGCCCAGGAGACACTTCCAGGATGCAAGAAACATCCCCCGGCACTGTTTTACAAGCCCTTTATCGTTTCTCTGTGTCTTAGAAGCCACCAGGCTCCTGCTGAGGCCACCGAGCGTATCCTGAGCCAGAGCTGGTGTTTGTATGCAATTAGTAAACACAGTTATTCGGATCCTGTTGATCCAAAGGGGCCTAAATTGAATTAAGAGCCAAATTCTCATTTGAAACTCAACAGGGGCCAAGCATCTAATTCCCTTAGGCTGGCTTTTGTACACACCACTCACTATTTATTATCTGCAGTGAAGTGACGCCTGGGGTCCCAGCAGAGACGGGGCTATTTCCTTCGCCAGCCGCTCACCCCAGCTCTCCTCCTTCCTTAGCCCTGCCAGGCTCAACCCAGAAATTCACACAGGACCCAGAACAGTCCTGCTGCCAGATTCAGCGAGGACTTTTAGAGCAGCCGGTGACTGATCTCCAGTAGCCGCTGTGAATTTTTAAACCTGGCCTTAGCTTCAGAGCAGACAAACACCTTGGGATGCCAGTGCACAGTTTAATTAACAATTTATTCTAGTGCAACAGAGAACAGAGCAAGGGACGAGCAAGTGGCTTATGCAGGCAGCTGGCATTATTAAAAGTTAATGAGCTCTCCAGCAGCCAGAGCCCAGCAAACGGCGAGGCAGCCGGAGCAAGGGATATTTGTACTGCCTGCAAGGGGCAGGCAGTGCAGGCAAACCAGCAAAACAACGGAGCAAAGTGTCCCGCTGCAAGAAGAGCAAGCAAGGGAAGGAAAACTCTCCAGAGGAGCTTTCTGAACTTCTCTGGAGAGTAGCTGGCAATGGAGAGGGTCGTTGGGGGCATGGGAGGGGCTCTGACCCTGCGTCCTGCTGAATTCACCCCACGGGCTGTGATCCACTTGCTCCAGGTAGCTGCTATCTATCACTTTATCTTCCCCCTGCACCACCGGACCATGCTGGCCTGGATGGATCCCGGCACAAGCAGAGCAGCCCCTAGGGCTTTGCTAACGAGGAGCAAACCCCAGCGTCTTGTGGCAGCTTTTTCCTACACCTGAGCCTGGAAAAGGTGGGAAAGCTTCCTCCTCTCGTCCCAGCACCTCCATGTCCCAGGGATCCCTCCTCGGCTCCCCACTCTGGCTGTCACATAGGGGTCTTCATTTATAGCAGGTAGTTGAGCCCAAATTGGGATCCCAAACTGGCAGGTGAGGGCACAGTGACTGCAGCTGGAACGGAAGGGGCAGCGGAGGGGCTGCTTGGTCTGTGGGGAGACCCCTCCTGCACAGCCAGGACACATCCAAAACTCAAAACCACCCGCAGTGTCACTACAGAGCAGGGCCTGGAGCGGTGGGGGGCACGGGGCTGCTGCGTGGGGAATACGGAGCCGAAATCCTGTGGGATTGCTGCGGCGATCTTCAGGGCAGTGTGGGGAGAGGTGGCAGCCCCGGTACTCACTCACTGTTTGCTCTGGGGTGAAAGGACACTCCTGGCAGGAGACGGGGCTGGCTGCTGCGTCCTGCTCCTTGGGGCGGGCTGCTGGGCTGCGGCACTCCGGGTTTAGGCTGTAGGGAGAGAAAAACCAGAGCTGTCTCTGTGTCGAGCTCTGCCTGCTCCTGTGCTCCCCAAAAGCGATGAGGAGCAACAAGATCCCGCGCATCAAGCTCTTGGCGAGAGGGGACAACTCAAAAGCGTCCCATCCTCGCAACTTAATTCTCCCTTATGGCTCCTCATTGCTGCTGAAGGGCAGAGGAGCTTTGGGAACTCAAGCTGAAATGGCGAGCTGCCTCTAAAGCCCGTGGTACTGAGAAGTTAATGCACGTGTTGGCTTTTCTCAGAGGCTCAGAGTTTGGTGATGTAAGGAGGACCGAACACCGCTGCGAACACCAGACCTCGCTGTTATCTGTCCCCATCCATCCCAGCCTACGTTAAAGAGCCTCTCTCAGAACCTCAGATTTATTCTAGCACAATCGGAGTGGCGAAAGGCTGAAGAGGGCAATAATATCCCTGCTCTGACCGCTGTATTTATCTCTGTGTGAGCCGTAGATCTGTTCAGGCCTGCCCCGTGGGGGAAGACTCAAATAACACGGAGAGTAGAGGAGAGGAGAGATTTTTTCTCGGTCCTGTGCAAAGAGACCAATTAGTGTGCTAGACGATTAAACAGACATTTCATAATGTCAGGCTCGATGCAGTTTGGCGGCGTGCTTCGGATTTCGGAGTGGGCTGCTTCTCCTGTAGCAGACATTCGGCAGGTCGGCAGTACCATTTCATTTCGTTTCTTCACACTTTTTTTTTTTTTTTTTTTTTGCAATTAATGGGACAAATAATTTGTCCAGATGGTGGTGTTAAGTGCACACAGCAAGAAGACAGCCATTTCGCAACAGATGGCGGCAAGGAAATGAAATGCACAAAATAATAATAATAATATTTAAAAAAAAAAGAAGGGGGGAAAAAAAAAAGGGAAGGATAATTTAAGATGCTCCGAGTCTCACTGTGAATATAATTGCCGTGTTAATTACAAGTGTTGATGAGTCAGAGATGTAGCCACTTGGATCCCAAGTGGGTGGAAATCTAAGTTTGAACGAACTTGCCACAGGTGAGAAACCCTAAGAGGTTAATTAAACCTGCTTCGCGCAGAAGACATTTTGGACACGACTACCGCTCGCTAATTACTCGCTGTCGTTATCTTGGATTAATTCCTTTGGATGGACGCTCCGATCCCAGGCTGAGGAGTCTGAATGCACCATAAGCAGATGCCAGCTTCAGGTAGACAAACCCCAAAAGCTGGTGCTAAGACACCGGTTCCTGCCCTGAGGTGGGTTTGCACGCTCGCACCCCAACGGGGCAAGTGTGCAAATACACGTGGAGGTACAGACACGCCAACACCTCCCAGTAAAGCTGTGTCCAATGCAAAGGGGGACAGGTCTGGGTCGTGGTCCCGCTCCCTGGAAATGAAGCGTTAGGGTAACAATGCAGCCCCAAGCATCCCTTGCTGCGGTCTTGCCAGCTCACGTGATTTTTTTCACTATGTTCGAGTGGAAGGATCAGGCTGGAAATGATGTCAACAGAGGGAATTATTTTTCAAAGCATATTTCCAGGTGTCACAGTGGTGGAGACCTGGACCAAAGCGCAGCCGAGCAGTTTGCAAGGTTTTTTTCCCTCCTCACAAATCAGCTTCCCTCTTAAAATGCCTTTTTACCCTTCTAAACTTTATCACTTTTGAGAATTTCCTGCATTTACTGATGGGGAAACTGAGGCAGGGGACGAGACACGACGCATTGCCACCAGACCTCAAAACCATCCATCTCCGACAAGGACACGCATCCCAGGGCTGCCTGGCAAGCATCCCTGTACCCGAGCTCACCCTCCGCAAGCCAGGAGGAAAAAGAAAACCAGGCATTTTCTTCTAGTGGGAGAGGAGCCGAACTGGCCAGCCCCAACCTCTGAAATAAAACCTTTCCGCTAAGCAGCAAAACGATGTAAATCTAATTTCTACCCCATTTCCACCCCCATTCTTCTGGCCCTGCAGCAACCCTGCCGGTGCGGTGCCACAGTAGGGCTTCGGGTCCGGGCACAGGACTGCAGCCAGCCGATGTAGAGCCTTGCTGAGCATGGTTTTACAGCCAGCTGTTAAATTCCTGAAGATCGGGGCTGTAAGGGAAAGCTGGCGGCATCTGTACCGGCAGGACAGTGAAATCTTTTTTGAGAGAGGTTTTTTTCTGCTGGGAGGCTTTTGGAGGAGACATGGCAGCTCCCCAGCGTCCTTCATCCACAGTGTTGAGTCAACTTCATGCCTGGAAAACCCTGGAGCCAGGGCTGAGGCCGCTGAATCCCGGGAAAACTCATCTACTGGCCCAAGTCACCTTCCAAAGGCGCAGCCGGGGCCGCTCAGGACTGATCATAAAGTTTATCAACAAACCGAGGGGCTACATTGAGCCTGGACACATGGCTGTGGCGAGCCTGCTGGGGCAGAGGCTAGCTCAGGAATTTGCATTGGTGAAGAAAATGGAGCTGCTGACACGTAGCAGGCACTTCCCAGCCTGGATTATGTCGCTCGAGAGATGCAAACGGCACCGGAGCAGGACACGGAGAGGTTGGTTGGCATCGATTTGGCCCCAGCCTGCGTAAAGCTGCCAGGGATGAGCCCTGCCACAAGCGCAGCTCGCTCCGGCACCCCGATCCCAAACAGAAACACGGGTGATCCTTTAATCGCTTCATCAGAGCGTCTGCTGCCCGGGCAAGGGAGAGGAAATACCCGGCGGAGGGTCCCAAAACCTGCTTGAAAAAAGGGGGAAAACCCAAAACCAGTTGACCAGGCTTTCTTGCCAGTTTGGCAGTTTAACTCCATTATTTGCAAAATCCTCTTTGCATCATTAAACATTTTTCTCCTGGCCATGTCGTGTTTTTTCACAAATAGGGAAGATGCACGGGAGACCTGCGTGCTGCATTCCGCTCTGCTACCGCTGGGCTGTGCAGCCTTGGTTGAATCTCTTCATCTTTGCTTTGCTTCCCACCTTCACGGGGTTTTGGGGGAAAAAGCCTGATCCCGAATACAACCTCCTGCCTCTGTGGCCGTGCTGAGGGTGGTGGGGGTCCCCTCTTTGCTGCCTGTTTGCAATGCAAACCCTGGCCGGCTCGTCCCGGCATGGGGAGCAGCCGGATCAGCTTACGGTGACTTCCCAGGAATCCGCTCCTTTCTCCGGAGAGACAGGAAAGTATTTTTATTCCAGCTACACATAGACAGAGGAGATGATGGGATTAAGTTCACCTCCCAAGGTCATGCCAGAGGAGCGTGGCAAAACCAGGAGCAGATTTCGGATCTCCCAAGCTGGCGCACTCGGACCTCCCATCTGTCTCCCCCAAAATAGTGTCCAGTGCATCAATCGCTCTCTGTCCTGCCAACGCCCCGGGACTGGAAGCCACCTCGAGGGTCAGGACATCTCAGAGGGACATCACGGTCGGTTTGGGGGGCACAGGGCCCCCCCACTCAGCCTACGGTCCCATGAAATGCAATGGGGGGGGGGGGGGGGGGGGGGGCCGGGGGGGTTTGA